TAAAGAAGAGAAAATCACTTACCTATATCAAACCACATGCGTTCAAAGGTTTCAAAATGTGATGAGCGGTTTTGAAACTCAGATTCCAATTTTTCTGAGAACTCTAAATTTTTGTACTAGCGGCGGAGAATCTTAAGAGAAGTAGGGTTTCAATATGTGAATGGAACGGCAGATTATATACTTTTATAATTGGGCCTTGAGCATTTGATTTTTAACATTTATTGGCCCATGAAAATGTAGTTCAAAAAGAATATTGAGCCCAATTTATTGAGCCACTTCTAAGGACTCCAAACCGAACTAAGTTAGGATAAGCCGAAACTTGAGTAAATTGGTTGAAAGCCTAATGCAAAAGTCTTTCGATCAAAATTTATTTTTATACAGTTAAGATAAAAGACAAAAATTTCGTTCTATTTTGATCAAAAGACAAAAAGGAAAGACTTTTGATTGAAAGAAAAGAAAAAAAAAGTTCAGTCTACAAGAAGCTGGCAGGGAAATTCTTTTTCAAATTCATTTAAAACATACTGTAGAATCTAAAACATATCACTAAACGAATAATATATAATTTTAACTAGTATTTATATATATAGAAAGAAAACAAATGACTTTCATAATTGTTTTAAAATTGATGATTGAATAATACCTGTTTTTTGTTTAGATTTCCAAAAATATTAAACTCCATGAACTAATAACCAAATGTTGTCTGGTTACACTTTTCAGGGTATGAACCTTAGATAAACTACTTACTTTAATAGGTTGGGACTGAAAGGGACTCAACGACCTAATACTCATTTATTGGTCCTTGTTTTCCTTTCCACCAAATTCGTTACTATAGTGGGTTAGCAAATGTTTGATTCTAGAGCTATGAATAGCTTCATTACCTCGGAGGGCGCGGCGGGTGGTAACATCCGAGGAGATCCTGGTGGTTATTTCAGAGCCGTTCGAGTCGTAGGAGGCGCGTTGCTAGCGCTTCAGGGACAAGTTAGTGGTGTGGATGTGCAGATTGCGGGAAAGTCGATGCCGGCAGATCTGTACATTAGTCCGATTAAGCTGTATGATGTGATTATGGGCTTTCCTGAAGTAGATGGGTACAAATGTGCATCTGAGTACGGCTTACCATCCTCAGACAGACGGGCTTTTAGAGCGGACCATCCAGACGCTTGAGGATCTGTTGACGATGTGTGTGTTGGATTGGGGTGGTCAGTGGGCATATCACTTGAGCTTGATGGATTTTGCCTTTAATAATAGCTACCAGACGAGTATTGGGATGGCTCCTTAT